CTCAGGCACCAGGGATTTGGAAGGTGACTTGGATTAGAGTGACCTAAGGTAATTATCACGCTATTAACTTTCCATCAAAGCACTTCCATGGTGACATCTGAACCATGAGGAGGACCCACCCCAGAGGGTATAACACAGGATCCCAGACCATTCCTGGGGCCTTTTTGTCACGACAGGGGGCCGGTTTTTTGCCTGCAGTGACCGTATCCTGCTCTGTACACATTTCTTTCTCTTCCACAGTAAAGTCTGTCTCCCACTTCTCTTATCTCTGATCATTCTCCAGCCAAGAGCACACAGACTGCAGACAACTGCCTGAACCTTGACAAGGACAGGGGAGATGAAAGGGACTCCTTGACAGTGATGGGGGAAGACATTTCTACAGCTCTCAATTTCTGATTAAACAAATGTTGAGGTCCCCCCAGCACAGTCCCCAGGTGCTGCCTGGTGGGCTCCCACCTACTTATCCAGTCTGGTTCTCTGCTTGCCCCTCCCGGGACCCCCCAGTGAGGAGGAGCCGCGTCCTCAGAAGACCATGCTGCACACAGTACACATTCTGCACACCCTGATCCTGGACTGGATATTGTCCCTTGTTTTTATATTTGTCTTATATCTAGCTCAGGCACACTCTGGTTCCTCTGAGAAGACGTCTCTGAATTTCCTGTGTTCCCACAGTGCCCAGTGCTTTCCTCCATCACAGCCCTTGTGGTAAAATATGACACCTGCTTGTCTGTTCTCCAGCCACACTCCACGATATTTGAGAGCTGGGCTTCTACAGGCTCTCTGGGCCTCCAGCATCCAACACACATGCTGGCCAATGAATAGGCAGGGCTGAGATATAAATCAACAAATGCTATTTCAGGCTGCTAGTCAAAGAGTGTGTAGTGTAACAAAGAATATACATGGTCATTAGGAACAATTGTTTTTTTTTTTGAGACAGAGTCTTAAGCTGTCACCCTGGGTAGAGTGTTGTGATGTCAGAGCTCACAGCAACCTCAGACTCTTGGGCTTAATTGATTTTCTCTTGCCTCAGCTTCCGAAGTACATAGCTGGGACTCCACAGTGCCTGGCACTGGATGTACATAGCTGGGACTCCACAGTGCCTGGCTACATTATGAAAATTTTGATACACAAAAATCAATAAATGTTAAATCTATGCAGACAAAAAACAGACAAAATCCTCCCAGCAACAACGACAAGCCGAGCAAACTGAAACCTGCACAGGTGAATCGGAAAGGTCACTGTCAGCTGTGCTTTATAGAAGCAAAATAATGGGCCATACACAGTAGGTCTCAAAACTATCATAGTGACCTATTACAATCTGCTCCAAGCCTCCACACCTCTGCTCCTAAATGGCACACCAGTGCCTCAAACTCAACACATTCAGACACATCCATTTCACGTTCACACATGTTTGACAAATTTGGTTAATGTCTCAACATCCAGAAGGCACCCCCAGGAGGCACCTTGGACTCATCCTGACTTGTCCCCTTCCACGGTTCCTTTCCTCACACTATTCCCTTGCCCTTGACAGCCCTGCCTCCTTCCTCATCCTTTGAACCCCCAGTCATCCTTTAAGTCCCAACTTACTGTGACCCTCACTCTGAATTCCCTCCTCCGCTCCAGCCAGAGTGAGTCTGAATTCTCCCCAGCTGCTCCCCAGAACCTAACCTGCAGTGTCACATGTCATGTCCCCCTTGGGATCAATAGTTTGCACTGGTTTCTCAGTTCAACTTAAAAATATATATTTTTGCACTTGCAGAGAAAGCAGGTGAGTAAAAATATTGGAAAAGGAGGTGAGAGAGGTAAAGAAAAAATACAAAGCAAAAGAAAAAACTAGGGGGGAAATTTAATATGAAGAAGTCTAGGAAAAAAATTCTCTTTGAAAATGCCAGAGAGTCTTTTAGGTATTTTAAGTATTTGTACCCAGCCAGCCATCACTCCCACTGCCCAGCCACACCCTCTCCCTGCCTGTAGGAAGAATTCCCTGCCAGCTCCCCGCTGGGGAACAGAGAACCTCCCATGAGCAGGGGCTCCACGCTGAACACAGGTCTCTGTGCCTCGCTCTCCATCTCCTCTGGCTTCCTTGCTCTCCAGCCTGGCACACTCTCCGTCACCTGTTCATCTCTCCTTTTGCTTCTCCCATGTGCACACCCCGTCTCAGACTGCCTTACCCCTTAGCCCTGTCACCCTGGATCTTCTGACTGGCTCTTCCCCATATTCCCTTCTGTCTGTGGCTCCTCGGGACAAGATAATGTTCTCCATGTGCATTCTTAAACATGAATCATCCAGGTGAAAGTAACGGGATTAGAACCTGAAAACCTATCAGAAGCCCGAAGGTCATTTACAGCTACAGGGACGCTCAAGCTTTCCCTCCAGAGGTTTGGTAATTGAGTTTGTTGAAGCAAACTGACAATCAACAGATTTACAGGAGAAAAGATACAAATGTATTAATGTGTACACGTGCAGGAAAACCACTCGAGAATGTGAAACTCGGGGCGGCGCCTGTGGCTCAAAAGGGTAGGGCGCCAGCCCATATACCGGAGGTGGTGGGTTCAAACCCAGCCCCAGCCAAAAAAATAAAATAACATGGTTAATTTAAAAAAAGAAAAAAAAAGAATGTGAAACTCAAGCAAGGGCCAAATGGTTGAGGTTTAAATATCCTGTTCATACAGCAGAAAGAAGTGGGTGGTGTAGGTGATTTAAGAGGAAGAGTAAACAATTTCTCTTGACTGGGAAAATGAAAGGGACCAAAGAACAGACGATATCCTGGGACAAAGTTCCTCTGGGCTCTGCGGGAGGTATCCACAGCTGATGGAAAGGCCAGGGAGAGAAGCACACTTCAAACAAAGGTTGTCTGAGACCGGGTGCAATCCTAGCACCCCAGGAGGCCGAGATGGTTGGATCCCTTGAGCTCAGGAATTGAGACCAGCCTGAGCAAGAGTGAGACCCTGTCTCTACTAAAAATAGAAAAACTAGCTGGATATCTTGGTAGGTGTCTGTAACCCCAGCTACTCCAGGGTGGGGGGGGCTGAGGCAGGAGGATCACTTGAGCCCAAGAGAGTTTGAGGTTGCTGTGAGCTATGATGACACTGTGGCACTACCCAGGATGACAGAGTAAGACTCTGTCTCAAAAAACAAACAAATAAACATACAAAGGCCAGGGCCAGGTTCGAACCCGCCACCTCTGGCATATGGGGCTGGCGCCCTACTCCTTTGAGCCACAGGCACCATCCAAAAGGTTTTCTTATCATGCATACAGTCTCTTAGGTTAAAAAAAATAATAATAAAGGAAAAAGAGAAAAAGAAAGCAAATTGTTCTCAAGCAGCTTCCAGAAAACCTGACAATAGCCTGTAAAAATGTGGTAATGACTTTCAATCTTTTCTCTGGTCATGAATCTTCCCAAGTGGTTTAATGAGATTCCCAGGGAGGGAATTAGAGACAACTGCACTTCTTTTGGAAGAACTTCCCTCAGTCAGATAAAGAAACCACAGAAAGAGAATGTACTTTGGAAAGGGACGTCGGGAGGTCGGGGAGACCACAGCTCCTTTCACTGTCCTCATTCAAAGCACCACATCAAAGCGCAGCACTTTGGGGAGCAAGTTTCTGAGCCCCAACAGTGCCCTAAGGTTCATGGCTCCAAGTTCTTAAGAGAAATGAGCAGGAATCATAGATGAACCTCATAACAGCAAGCAAATGTTATAAATTTAGCAAAGGTAGAGGATGCTGTTACTAATTAGACTGGAAATTATGGAGATGAGGAATGCCAGCTGTCCACTGCTGATGAGAGGAACTTCAAAGATAAAACAGGATTGGCAGCTGTGCTCCCTGTACATAGGGGACCAAGCAGCTGCAACCTCCACACCTCTGGACACAGGGGCATCTTCCTACTGCAGGGCGATTACTGCTCCAGGGTGACGCTGACCCCCAGCTCAGAGTTCCCCACTCTGGACACAGGGG